TTATACAATTTTATTTGTCTAATGTTCAAATATATACTCTGGACATAAATGGAAGGCAATTAATTTCAAGGTATAGGATTGCTTGCATTGAAGAATGACAGTGTATCAAAATAATCATCGTATCACGGCCAAGGGAGAATTAATGCTAGTAAAGACTAGATTTTTCAAATCACAAAAATTTACTTTAAAAATCTTGTAAAATAATATAGAGTTTAATAATTGGTGACGATTTCAGAATTTGATCAAAAGATAAACTAATAGATGACAATATGTTAGTGATGTGTTATCAAAGCCTTTATTGAAAAAAATAAAAGTACATTTACTGACTTATTAAAAATTTAACGCTTCATATTAATTTAAAAATTGAACAGTGCTTCTTTCCTAAACTTGATATTTGCCAATCAAAATTTTATAAATTCACTGAGCAACCCTGTTAAACTGTCTTCGTATTTTATTGTGAATATTTGTTGTTGATACTACTTGTTATGTAAATATTAGTCCCCTCGTTTTTATGCTCCTAATACCTACTTTTCAATATTTTTGTTTTTATTCACGCATTTATGGAATTTCGGCAAAATAAAACTATATTGCAACTCGATTATAATCTTGACTTGATTTTTTAGACTGTACTAAGTAAATCACTGGAGTTCTTGCTATTAATTGCAGCGTTTCATTTTTTAACGTTCCCAGAAAAACAATTAAGGTCTCTTTGTTGGCAATGATTTTGGGCCATTATTCTCCAAATTTTCGACATTACCATTACTTGTAGAAACCAATAAATAATCACGTCTTCTCTACTTTATTCATTTAAAATATTTTGATATCGTTACGTTTTTTATGTATGTATGTTTTATTCTCAAAATAAGTTTTTATAAACAAATTTAATAAAAAAAATTATTTTCTTAAAGCGCGTTATTAACAGAGTTAAACATTAAACAAACCATGAAGGAAAATATAGCTTTAAATCGATAGCAAGAAATTGGCGCCTACACATTTGCTAGATACTGAAAATAAAATAAGAGAATTGGAGATTTGTCGGATGGAGCCGTCAACTTTAAAGTCTGATTGACACAACTCAAAAATTCTAAACTGGCAACTTTATTTTAACAAGAATGAGTTTTAACTTACGACTATGACTATGGGCCAGTGTATTTTTAATTTTTCGATGAGAGCTTTTATAACACATACATAACTAACATATTGCCATCGGTTTGGCATATGTCTTCACTAAATTCTGTTTTCTTCACCAATTATCAAACTCTAAAATTTTTTATTAATTTCTAAACTATCGTACAAGATTTTTAAAATAAGCTTTTATCATTTTAAGATTCTAATTTTTACAAGCATTACTTGTCGCTTGGACGAGGTACGTTCCTGTTTCGATATATTCTCGTTCACACAAATAAAATTGTATACATCATTTTTTGTGTGTATTTCTGTATTTTTTTGTTGTATGCGCAATTATTTCATCAAAATTTTGTTAAAATATACTACCGCCTGACAAATCCTAATATTTAACCTAGTCAATCTACACCACACTGTGAACACCTTATTAGCTAAATATTTCACCGTGTAAATACACCTCTGCGCATCGCTAAATTTCCGTCACCATTTCAACAGTGCCGCGATTGCTTCCGTCGGGTGTGTTAAAATTTCTGAAAATTCTAAAATTTGTGTTCCATGTAGTGAAAAGTGTATAGTTTTCTTTAAAATTAAGAAAACTAATTGTTTTGATTAGGAAATTAAATAAAAATTCATGCGAGCAGTGTTTTTTGTTAGTTTTCGTGGCGTTATAGTTTCGATGCGGTGCGCGAGTGGCTCGGGCCGGCCCGAACAAGTGTTTTTTTATATTAAATTGAAGTGTAATTGTGCAATCTGTTTTTTTTTTTATTAAATTTAAGTGTAGTTGTGCAATCTTCATCTAATTTGGTGAAAGTTATCAGGTGAGGGAATTGAAAAAGCCAAAGGATTATATATGTAGATGTTAGTATGTAAATTGTTGGCCTCCTATTTTACATGTTTAGAAAATTTGCATCAGTATAGAATTGGGGTTTTTCTTGGCCATCATTGGTCCCCCTACATTTCATCCCAATTAATGTTCCCTTTATAAATGCCCAGTAAGCACAAAAACTTGATTTGGTTCGGTGACATGAATTTAGGCGCATGTCGGAACTGCTTACAGCCAACAGTGTTTGCTGAATTGTGTAGAAGCAGTGTGAACAGTTGGAGAGCCTGTATATTCATACAAAGGTGGCGACATCATTAGGACACTACTTTTACTTAAGTTTTGACCATTTATTTTTCTTTATTTATTTTAAAATTACTTTTTTATAAAAATGTAGTTTATACTACTAGAGAAAATTCATATTAATAGTACTGATTAATTAAAAAAAAAAATTATATATGAAAGTAGTTTATATGGTATTAAGTTAATGAAAATTCTTGTTCGAAGATACATACATACATATGTATGTGCCAGAGTATGCTCTCACTGGAAACCTAGATACCTACAATACTGGTATACTGTGCTATTACATAAATATGTGAAAATTATGTACACATGCAACTGACAAACTTGTTGATGATTTGCCGTCGGCATTTCAAAGGGGCTTTCGGTCGAAAAAATCGTTTTTTTTTTCATTTTTAGCGATTCTAATGGTAGCTGCTATGCTACTTATAATGCAACAAACCGCAGTTTTGTAGCTGCTTTATTTCACAAATTCACTTTAAATGCCTAATGCCCAATTTCCAAGAATAGGTTGTGCATTAGAATAAAGGCTGATTTTCACTATGTCATATTTTGACAATAAATTTTGTTGACATATTTTGACACAACTTTCCCTCCTTGTTCCATACCTTTACCGATTAAATTATTGACCAAAAACGTACAGATAACCAACTTAGTGGCACATGTTCACGACTGAAGACCTATTCTTGTCTTAATAAATCGATAAAGCATTTTTTAGTTCCACTTGACAATGCGTTTTCACTTATTTTACAACAAATGCCATTGAATTTGACATAGTGAAAACCAGCCTTAAGTAGCTTAGCTATAGTCTACCGGAAAAACTGCAAACTGATATCAATACCGGTTCGTTAGAGGCATTTTACTTTTTAAAAATGATGCCATGAATTGAAGTAAAAGAATTAAGCAAAATTTGTATTGCTTCTATAATATTTAAATGAAACATAATATGTACATATATTAAGGGTACTCACGGTTAAAGTTTAATTTTATGATCAGGTTACCTTACACCAAAATTACAAGCGATATGTGAGTTTCCGAAATATCGTGACTTTCGATTTTTTTAATAAAGTTTTACTTACAAATTCCATTTTGTCTTCTATTTTTACTTAATTTTGTCAATCGACTGATTAGAAATGAAATTTTATTACAATTGAAAACACATTTTAAACTGATGTATAATTAGGGTGGTATTTTTGGTTTTCAAGCAAGGTAACAAAAAAGAAGATAAACCATCATAAAGCAGTAAAAAATTAAGAGATCGTATAATTGTAAATAAAACAGTAAGGCTTCTGATTAGCATCATAATTTTGTGGTTAAGTCAATTTATTAGACTAATTATAACTAAACAGTTACAATGTTAATGTAAGTGTAAGTATCAAACAACTTTAGAAAAAAATTTGCATAAATATTTGCGGTGTTTTTCATTTTTATATACATATATGTAGGTATTTGTGTTTATTGCTGGCAACTGCTCTAATGATAAATTGCTTAATTGCGGCTGAGGTATAAAGACTAAACGCGTTTAACAAAGTTTTAAATGCTAAAAATTAAAAAGCATACAAAAAAAAAATAAAATAGCAACAATTAAACACCTACGCTGATGTGTATGTGTGCATTAGATCGTATCACTTTACAAGCAAACAAAAAAAAATCGCCGTACACCCCTGAGTCTAAATTATTTTCGCAAGGCAATTTCGAATAAAAATTTTCGCTCGAACCTAGGGGTTGCCTTTTTTACATTTTTCGGTGACACCTACATTCGGCAAAACATTTTTGTAAATAGTTCTATTGGAATAATCAAAACACTTCATTAGCAAAAGTTTAAAGATTTTTGGTGAGCTTTAATTTACTGACATTAGAGTGGTACGTTGGGGTGATAAGAACTGAGATCTGGTGGATAAGTACTAGAAAAATGACAAAGGGAATGCGGCGACGCTTTTTACCGGTACAGCCTAATGTGCGTATAATTTTCATATTTATATGTTTACAAATATCTAGAATACTAATTTTTTTAATGCTCTACTTACCAGATAAACGCACAATTCACATACATATGCTTTGCATGTAAATACTTATTGATATTCAGTATATTTAATGCACGCGTTAATACTAAATAAATATTTACTTTCTAATAACATAATTTATTCGGTGGTTTTTCAGCCACTTTTTCACTTTAATTTTAGCAACCAATAACTGTTCTATTTTTTATACTTATGTATATATACATATGTGTGTATGACTGCATGCATGTTCATATTGATATATATATATTTATTAAAGCCTACTTAGTTTTATATTCAACGCTGCTTTTAACTAACAGATTTGACTTATTTATTTACAAACACTAACAAATTTGTATGTATTTATTTTTGTATTCATTCAATTGTTTATTCAATGATATCAGCTAATTAGCTTGGCCTTGAAGCTGGTTCAAAAAGCAAAGTCTACTCGTCCCTAAGTATTTTGACCTAAGATGGCAACCCTTTTTTTATTTAGTTCAGAGCTTGTATGTATAATACCCCATCAGCTTTCAAGGTTGCGCTAATTAGCTGAACACCTTTCTCTGTATACCCTTATAATTATGCTTTGGGTGCATAAATATTTTTTTCTTTAACATTTACGTCGATATGAATTCTACATTAACCCCTGCTTGTGTTTATGCTTAGCCTTAGTGCTTACACGTACATTCATATACATACATACATATTTTATTACTTATATGTATACGTATATATAGATTATTAATTCCTCTTTATTTCGCTATTTTCATGCCATCCACTGCAGAATGCCTTTTCCCCCGCTTTATTGTCTCCGTTCTGGCAATCATCTGCAAACGGTACTATCATCGCCGGCGCATATCGAATGTGGCGCAGCAAGAAAGAGTTTGCCATTGGAACAGGCGCATAACTGGAAGACACGATGTAAATGGTCACGACTTTGTGGCGCTCCCAATGAAGGTGGTTGTGCTGTACGCAAATTCGGCATGAGTATTTTGGAGGACTCCAAGCGCAGCTGCATGTACGAGGAACCACGAGTCGTAGAGAAGGGGGAAAGGAGAAAGATAATAGAAAACAATAAAATTAAAATAAATAGTTGAACTCTTGATAAGCTTCGAAGAGAGCCCCTCTGGTTTGAAAGCTATGACTAAAGTAATTTCTAATCTTTTTAATTTTAGCTGAAAATTAAGCTCTTCAACAAATTTAAAACTATTATATCTTAAACTTAATATATAAATAACATTGTCTAAATTTTTTTGGACGGAGTGGTTAAAATATTTTGTAACTTTGTATTTTATTAAATGGTCTTGACAATCGACCCGATTTTTGTAAAAAAGCTTGATTTTGAAGAAACATTACTTAGGTTATTTTTTTTAATATTAAAGTAACGGTATGTACTAATGTACAACATATGTATGTGTATCTGTGTTACTACTATATACTTACACTGCCATCCAGCGCACTCAGTCGTACATCCTTTAGCGCAGTCACTTCGATTGCTCCTGCACGCGATTGCAAATTTATATCCTTTGCTGCAGTCAGTTCCAGCTGACGTGTTGGAGATTCCAGTCTATAGCAAATTGAATAAAATGAGGTATTTGTAAAGGCCGAAAGAAATAAAAAAAAAATAAAAAAAAATTATGCACATTAGGATGCGTCACTTTCCATAGCGAAAAAGGTGTCAGAAAAAGTAAGCAAAAACGAAACTGACTTCAATTCCTATAAAAAATTTAAGAGTACCGCTAATTTCTTAATGATCCAATGATCGGATCTAAACCAAATTAGTATGAGATGCCCTCTGAAGTACCATATTTCCTTAAAAAATCGGTTAACGTGGTCCAAAGTTCTGCGATTAAAAATATTAAGATTTACGTGAGCTGAATTTTGAAAATAACTCTAAAAATCAAGGCTTTTATAAAAATAGTTTTAAAAACTATTTTTCAAAAAAAAAAAAAACACCAACACAACAACAAAAACACGAAAGAAGAGCTTAAGCTTGGAATTTCTGCGCAAAAATTTTGTCAACGGAATCAAAGTAATGTGATTTTCTGAGGTATTTTCAGATCGGTCAAGCTCAGGTAAATGTTATTGGTTTCCCGAAATGTTTTGATAAAAGTCTTAAAATATAGTTATTTCTATAATTTCGGCGAAAAAACCCCAACTTTTTGGTGAGACACCCTAATGTACATACATATATATATATGTGTGTATGTCTGGGACTAAAAATAAGAGTTATTGCCTTAATTAAAAAAGTTAACATGAAGGTTTCTATAGCACTACGATCTACACACAGTTTTCGTAAATCTGCAGCCCTGTGCACGTTTTCAAGCTCTCTGTGCTTGACGGTATATGAGAAAATTACGGACCGTTTGATTTCCTCTGTATAGGAATTTGAACTTCCGTCGCTAGTGAAAGGTCTAGAAGAGCGCAATGGTTACTTACGTTTTCATTATCTTCAACACCCTTGTGTTCTGGGACCCAATAGATATATCTGTGTCCTTTTTAAAGCAATATTTAATTTTGTTCCAAAATAATATCTAACGATTAACTAGCCAAAGGTGTGCTTCAAGACTCCTTGTTCCACCCGCTAACCTTTTTATTATCGATAAAAGACCCCTCTCCAATCACAGCTGTGAAAGCAAGCTATTTTACTGCGACAAAACGTTTTGAATCTAAGCTGGCCAGAGGTATAAATATTAAATATAAGCCAAGATTCACGGATGAGATGCGTATATACCCGACGAAAGCCTGGGGCTGATTCTCACCGTCTAGCTCTTTTCCCCGGAGATGAAATCCTCCACAAGGCAGTTGTTTTTTGGAGAGGAAATTCAAAATAAAGCTTCGCTGCAAAGCAACTTGCAACAATTCTATTTTGGAGGAATATGTACGTACAGGCATAGTACTTGCAGTAGTAAACGCAGCACCAAAAACCCCAGAAGGCATTGTGGTAGGCGTTTATGACCCCCTTGGGAATGTACCCGAGAATTTTTCAAGAGGGGTCTTTGATCTCAAGCCACCGTGCCACCGAAATGAGAGAATATTATTCCTTAGCGACAGTCAGGCGGCACCCAAGGTACTTCTATCATTTGAATACTAAGTCACAGGAGAGTTGAGGCAAATGAGGTAGCGGGTGGATTAGCTAGGGAAGCAGTAAACTCCACTCCACCGGTTCCGAAAAATACCCCGTGGTAGGTTTCAACACCATTAGGGAAGAGCTCAGAGAAGAAACAATAAGAATTAGAGAACAGAACTGGCGAAGCACCATTGGACTTCGCCAAGTCAAAAGCCTAATAGGGGCGTACAACCAGAAGAGATATGTACAGGCTTGCCACAACTTGCCCAAGGATAAACTGAAGATTTTTGTTTTAAAAATTTTCTCTCTACATAAAACAGTGTAGAATTTTATACAATATAGTCCCACTTCCCTTAGTTTGTTTACAGTTCATTTATATTTTTCGTCGCCATCAAAGTTACGAATGCCAACAATTCTGCTTGCATAAAGTTATGTGCTCAAATATTTTTCACATTTTATACACATTCCATTTGATAGCAAAAATACGAGTTATTGAATTGTTCAGCTGCTTCATTCAAGTCCTCAAAATGTATGTATGCTCAGCCACAGGCAAACCCATACATACCTAACTACACCTGTAAATCAGTGAGTGCCGCCTGTTGAAGACGCGTATTCAGCGTGACCAACGATCCAATATTTCCAGTCATTGAAATTCGCAACTGGCCCTCAATTTATTTTCCACACTCAAGCAAATACGTACATAGAATTTGCATGCAACCACCAGCCTGCATGTATCCACGAGGGTGCACGCATAGTGGTTAATGATGGCGCATGTGGATGCACGCTGAGCCTATTTGTCTGTCGCGCCTTAAGCGTTTTTCAATATAGTCAACACTTGGTGGGTGCACTGCCTTTGCTTGGACGTTCTCCAATGCATTTCTAGCAGGCTTCAGTGGCCTGTGTCATACGGCATACATATGTTTGCCGTCGTAATTCATGCACTGAAAAATCGTCCATCGCAAACAGTTGTGATTGTTCAAAGGACGCCCGTAATGCTGGCGCACATCTCCCATAGCTCACTTATGTATTTATCTGTATGGTTGTTCGTATATATTTGGTTGTTTATTTTTCCAAGGAATGACCCAATTTTCTTTCGTTTTCTCATTTACTTTAGTGAGAATTTTTCCCTAAAAACGTGAGTTGTGTTTTTCGATATTCTTGTTTATATGCAAGCACTCAGCGTTACAACTCTGACAACATCATGTAAGCTTTGGCAAGCGAAGGCGAAAACTTGTTCCAAAATACATCTTCGAAAATATATTTGACTGACTAATGATCGGACTCAAAATAATAAAATTCCTAGTAATCTAATCTAATCTACCAAGATATTATATCAAGTTGAAAATGTATGTTTATAACTTAATTTCGAAGAAAAGCCTCAAGAGTACAGCCTTGGCAAAATGATAATTCGTTAGGAGGCTTCTCAGATCCATTTACATGCTGAGGAGGGGATTCCTAAAGACCTGACATTTATATCATCTTCCATCTTGATTTCCTGGCTAGACCCAGTAGACATTTTAATGGAGTTTTTCCTCAATGTATAAGTTGTCAAAGAAGTGATGCTCCATAAATTCTTAGTGCTTTCTTCGCATTGGTAGTCAGTACCGTTAATTTTGCGCTAAAAAGCCGAACATTGTGGATTGTGAGATTTAGTTAACAGCGGGTTTTTCTTTCACCGAATGATTTGTGTTGATCTTCGGCATGTGGAATGCTTATCGAGTTAGTCGTTGCTGGCACTGAGAAGACTAGATTTGATGGAGTTCGGAAAAAAAGTAGGTTTCAAAGTCGCAGTCAAAGTCAACTTCCGTAATCTGATAATGGCAACTTCTTTGTTACACCCAGCCTCTATCCAGGAAGGAAGCACCACCGATTTTACGCTTGTACGAGTACATAGTGCGCATTTAATGCTGTCATTCTCCGCTCTGAGCGGACCGCTCATCGATAATCCCTTTCCAGGAAAGCTAAAAGGCCAGAATAACCCCCTAAACGTTATCTCTTTTAATAATGTAAGGTTTGCGCCATTGAGTTATGAAGTTCGAAATTTATCTATCTTATAGCGTAGACAGACGGAAGGGTAACCCGGATTAACAGCTGATTGTTGCTATCACAATTGCACCCTGAAAGACGGCAATACTGCGGATTAATCGTAAGTGTTGTCATCAAAAATGCCCCTGATCCGTATTCATTTTGAGGATTAGCTGCAGGACTTAATTCAAATCAACTGCAGCTAATTCCCGAAATACTTCCAAATTGACGAGTTGATCCAAATCAACGCTGGCGTCTGTTTATGCTTTTTATCGCTTCGTCAACTAGTGTTGCAGAGATCCGAGGAACCGGATCCGGATAACCGGGTACTTTAATAAACCGAGGACCCGGACCGCCTTACAAGAACCGAAAAACGGGTATAATTCCAACGATTCCAGAAAAACTGAAGAACGATTTTAAGAGGCGCAGAAAACTGAAATGCCCTTAGAGAAAAAATAATAAAAAAAACCGAAAAAAAATTTAAATGAATCTACAGAACCGAAAATCGGCCCCGAAAGATGCAAAAATGGTTTCAAAAGAACGTACGGATAATCTACAAATCTCTGCTTTATGCAGCCGTTCGCAGCAGCCGTAAACTTTCTGTTCGATAGTTCATTGTGTAGTCTGTATTCGAATGATAACAAAGTGCATGTTTGTAGTGGACGATACGAATGTTTAGAGTAAATTATTTTATTTCGTAAATGTAAAACTCTTGAGCCGGTAAAAAATAAAAACTGTTTATAATCTTTTTTGAGCTACTTTTGTAGGGTTTATTTCCGTTACCACTTTTCTGAGAATCACACAAACTACCCGGCTCGCTTTGTAACCGGACTCGACCGAACCAGTTCTTTAAATCCTCGGAACCGCACGTCACTATCGTGTACTGAACTAACCCATTTGTGTTGGAAGCCTCTTTGACCGTTCCTTTTTCCTTTTTTTTCTTTCAATATACTATGCCCACGTACAACTAGGCTTAGACCTTCAGTAACAATTATTGTCTTCACCAAAATCTGGAATATGACAACCTCACAAGAACACATTCGTTTACACATATTTACTGCACAAAATACAATTTTTAAGAATTTAACTAAACCCTCAAAAAACTTAAAAATCTTACCAGTTGCAGCTACATTCCCTGATCGATTATTTTCTTTTTTAATTTCTCAAAGTTTCCCCCTGCTCCGCATACTCACCTCAGCTCGCGCGCCGGTTCGGCGCGTATATGTGGCGTTTGTATGGATTCCCGAAATATGGCGCCACCTTCACCGTCAATTCGCAACGCGTGTGCACCGATTGTGACTTCATTTTGATTTACAGAAAATAAATTTCGTCCATTGGTATCATTGATGCGAATTTCCTTCGCTATGCACTCGAGCTTATCGTGCCCAAGAAATAAATGATTCTCCAGCATGCCATTCGCGTCACGTGTATTGATTGAAAAATTACGTGATGATTCTGTTGATGATATTTGGTTGCCGCAAGGTGAGGCGCGCAGCGAATTTGGTAACCACAGCAGCAGCAGCAGCAGCAACGGTCGGAGTTGTCGCGACAAATCCCATTTGGATTGTAGGTGTGGGGGAATATGTTGTCGATGTTTGACGTTTGGTGCCGTATAGTTTTTGTTTGTTTTTGATTAGTTGTTGTTTGATCGGCGATTCGATGTTCGTTCGTTGATTTTGGTTTCAGTTTCAGTTTCAGTAGTCAATGTGAATTACGGCGTAGATGATGACATCCATCCGGGTGCACCGAAAATATATAAATATGAATAAGATTTCTAAGTTTAGATAGTGCGAACAGCAAATATACAAATGTCAACTAAATTTGTGTAATATAAATAGCAATAAATAAAAGGCGAGTGGATGCACGTACGCATTGCGACCCAAAACCACCAAATAACAAATGTTATACTATCAGGCTGAATGCCAATCTGTTCTCCGCACAATGCCAGAAATATACTCCTCTTAAAAAAAAAAATAAAATTGCGCAAAATAAGTATGATATCTACTTTCTTACAAATAAGCGTGCAGACCAGACCGCAAGATTAGTGTGACATGATAGCGGAAACGGAAATAAAATTTTTGCTCGCACGTTTCAGCGCAACTCACGGCCACGGAGCCAGTCAACCGAAGGCGTCGACGACTTTGCTAGCGCACAGAGCGTACGAAATTTACTTCACCTTTTTGCTACTACTAACTACGAACACAACTGCCCGACTAGCGAACGTGTAGTAAAACGATGTAGAAATGTACTACGGCACGCTGTCAAGCCACTCAGCTGAAATTGCCGCCCCCCCACCCATTTCATCTGTCCATTTTATCTGCGTTGAGGTTCCACCGTTTGGTTTACCGCCGTCGACTTTTCATACCTTAACGTTGTCATTAGGTAAAAATCCCATCTGTCTTTCTCTACTATTATCTGTAATTGTGCATCGCAGTCATTGCGTAGACACACTCACATACATATCTACATACATCTTTAGTGGTGACACACATAGCAGAAAATACATATTTAGTTGTTAGAAAATTTATTCGTGCGTTGCGGTCGACAGCACCGTCTTTCTTCTTCCTCGCATACATACACACATAAGTATGTACATACATATTTTAATCTTTGCATTGCGTTGAGTGCAAAAAGATTTATTTCTTGGTAAGTTATAAAATTTTTCTTGCACTATCACAATTTCCTATTTTTTGCGCTTTTTGTAATTTTTTTCATGGTCATGTTTTCGTACAAATGAAATATTCCGCTTCTGGTGGGGGGTTACTTTTTTAATTTAAAATATTCGTCCATTTGGTGTGGTTGTAGGTGTTCCGATCCAAAAATTGATACAGTGGTCAAAAAATTATAGCCGAACCACTTTTTGCCAAGTTTTAACGTATTATTTTTGTTGTTATTGAATTTTTGTTATTTTTTGTTTATAAAAATGTAGTTCATTCTTTAACATAACCCGCGCAAATACAAGTTTCAAAAATTGTGCAATATTAAAAAAAAATTCAACAAACTTTCGAACCTTTTTAAAAATTCTAAAAAATTAATCGTAATTTGTATCCATTCGAAACTTGTACTTTATTCAACTAGAATTCAATGGGCTACAAAACTGCATACTCATAATTTAATTAAAAATTTTAACGAAAATTTTTTGATTTTTTGTTTTTAAATTGCATAAATTTGTAAGGCAGTGTCACTCGATTTGTACAGATTGTACATTTTTTATATTGGACTATTGGTAAAAAAAAAAAAAAATGGTAAAATTTTTTTTTGTATTCAAAAGATTGGTACAATACAGCGATGTTATATTGAAAAATTTCAACAAATAAATTAATAAATAATTAATTAATTAATTAATAAGAAAAATATTTTGGGTTTTCACACAATTGGGATACGATTTGCACCAAATTTTGGCAAATACCCAATCGTGTGACACTTCCTTTAAACTTTTATTTATACGGATGTTTTTAAATAATAAACTATAAAAAACTAACCAAAATTAAATAAAAGCAAAGACAACATTTCAAGACTTGTGAAAATTTGAATTTGGTGCGGCTATAATTTGTTCGACTACTGTACATAAGTTGACTATGATTACTCGGCCGTGCTATCATGGTAGCACAATGCCACTAAGCGCATTTTAAAATTTTCAGGCAATAGCCTCATGCAATTATCGATTATATTTTTTGCTGTTTGTGTGATATATTTTATTTTTATCAGTATGTTTGTTTTAATCAAAATACGTTAAAATAAAAGTGAAACTAAAAAAAAATTGTTGCCCGAACCTCCGCCCAAAAAAAATTCTGGCCATGGCCCTGCTCCCAACTATCAACGATATGGACCTACGGTATTCAGCTGTGGGGAACCGCAGCAAACTCAAATATTGAGATACTACAAATATTACAATCGAACACTCGTAGAATGATTGTTAACGCAGCTTAATTAAAATTGCCACTATCAAGGAAGAAATTAAGAAATTTGCTACATCTTATAACTAGACACCATCGATTTACCACATTGTAATGAGTTATCGAAATTAGTCGATATAGAGCTATCAAAATTAATCGAATTATCGTAATTTATAGAGGTAGACATTCGAAGTTTATCGATTTATGTCGATATACATTTTAGAGTTATCGAAATGGATCAAGCCCTCGAAATGCGCAGTTATCGAGATTTATCGAAATTTATCGAAATTGGTCGAGTTATCGAATTTTGTTGGGTTATCGGGATTTAATGTTTTTGAATTTCATTGAACTATCGATATGTATCAAATGATCGAAAAAGCTCTCCAAAGGTCTTAAAAAACCCAAAAAACGGTCGTTTTTCAACAGTAACTGGCACACTTAGTATGTCTTAAATCTAAAGAAATAACTCCACAAAAAACTAGCCGTCAGGTGATGCGGGGGTCGAGTTTTCTTTATTAACCACTAATAAAAGCTTGCCTTAAAAAAGTTTTAAATTACTTGCTAACTATTTAAAATTGAAAGTTTCTAAAGTTTTAAGAGTGCATAATAAGTATGTACGTATGTACATATGTACATATGTGTCATATATTACTCGATGACTTGATAGAATGAATAATACAAAGCAAATAAATCAAGCGATGACAAACAATTAAGGCCACAGAAAACTTCCCACATAGGTGCTGCTATAAGTCTGTATGTATGTATGTACGTTTTTCATGAATGCAATTATTACCTAGTAACAAAATTCTATTTAAAGCATCGTAATCAAATGAATATGTTTTGGCAATAGGCATTTAGCAGCATAGTCTCAACATTTGGAAATTTATGCAAAATGAATATTAATAGCGACATCACCATAATAAATTACGTGCGTAAATATCTTATCTTGCCGTGACGTTATCAGACAAACATTACCCGACTAAATGTTTACAAATATGTATGCAGATTTATTCATATGCATACTTACATACATATGTACACACATATGTATATGTTTACATACATATTTGTGCGATTATTTGTCATGCTGGCGGCATACAAATTGCTGCAAATCACAAGCAAACGCAAATTTGCATATCATCCACATACAAATAAGTGCTCACACACACATTTGTACATACAGTTGCGGAGCCAAGAGGGTGATGTATCTCTCCTTCGTCAATCAACTACTATTATTTACTCTTGAGTTTATCCTTTTAATTTATAACTTTCTTTATTAATTAATGACGAAATACATTTTTATTAATATTTAGGATCATCAGTTATGGGATTATGCATGCTTTGGTAAAAAATTTTCCAAGAGAAAATAATGCTGGAAAACAGACCATTGCACCACGATTATGTAAGTCACTGACTCAAATGATAGCCATCTCGTATGTCACAATGTCGTAATAGTTTATGAACTGGTGGTAGGACGTTCTTCACCCAAATTCTGAAATAGGGATTTCTTGAAAATTTTGCTGAGATAGAGCGTTTTTGAACTGGCTGCCGAGATTGATCGATCTTCTACTCAGCAGTCGATGTATTACTGCATAATGCCATTTGTTGGCCGCCGATTTGAAAGCGCCCTATCTCAACAAATGGCTGAAGAAGGCCTTATCTGAGAATTGGGCTGCAAGTTGCGACTTTAATCGCACAACGGCAACACTGTTGTGGGTATCAGACCCAAGTCATACCGCAATTTTCGCGACCTGAAATTGCTGAGACAAAATTCTACTACCTTCCCCCTCCCGCCCTCAAAAAGCCGAATTTAGACGGTCTGAAAATAGTAGTGCTAGCAGGCTTATTAATTTAATTTTAATTAAGATTATAGCTCAAAATTGTTTATCATCGCCCCATTCCCGCAATCCTGGCTACGCCACTGTGCACATGCATATATATATAAATATGTATGTACAGATACGTATATACAGACACCATTTATGTGATTATTGGTACATTTATCACCCTGTAGCACATTGCTTGCTTTATCGCCTGTACTCACCTATCGCAATTGGTTGCCCGTGCCTAGAGCGTATTGTCGATGCGCGCAGCATGTCCATTATGAGCGCTTGACCGGAGAGTTGTATGCCGCCTGGCACTATCTTCAGGTGCCCCATGCCATCCTGCAATGATGATAAGACAAAAACCATTGAAGGTCAATTAACAACAATTGAGCTGGGTAATGAGGCGTATGCCATATATGTATGTATGTATGTATGTACGTATGTATGTAGTTATCTAAAATAGGTATAAAGTGACTGAGGTGACCGCGGCGTATGAGTGATGTCAACTGGTCGATTCTACTGCCATGAAAAGTTGCAAGCCTCGACCTGCTGACAACAAACAAACCACTGCACTGTATAGTAAGTGAATTTTGGTTGTTGTAAAATGTACAAAATATATGTATGTATACATTTGTATACTTGTGTGCCACACTCACCGTCGTAAATTCCATCACCTTCAGTATCCACAGCGTCAACACCAAATTGGTGATGATGAGCAGCATCAGCAGTACGAGCAGTCCATAAAGGCATTTCTTACGCCAACCCACCAACTCCAAATGCGCACCCAGGCTATCCATGAAATCGTTGTTACCTTTGTATAGTGTGTTGTTGTTATTATTATTGCTGTGATTGCTGCTATTGCCACTCGCACTCGCACTTGCACTGCCACTGCCAGTAACAGCAGCACCTTTGGGCATTCTCTTTGGCAGCGCTTGTTGTTGTAGTGTTTTCTCTTGTTGTTGTTGTTGATATTGACGTTGTGCCTGCTTCACCTTGATTGTGGCACGTTGTCGCTTGTCGTGTCCGTTCTGTTGTGAATTTGCAACCACCACCACTGGCGAAGCTTTGCTTGTGTGGCTGCCCACTAAATCGACACTGTCAGCGGCATAAGCAGCACGCGGCGTTGTTGTTGTTGTGGCAACTCGTGGCAAAGTGCGATTGCGTGGCGAGCGTGTGGTTGCTGTACTACTTTCAATGTGTCTAACAGCAGCACCAGCATCGCCAACACTGCTAGCACCTGTGGCAAGTCCTAGAATGCTGTCAGCAATCTTTGTTTTTGCTTTTTGCGTTTCTTTTGTTATTGTTGTTGTTGTTGTCGTCGGACCGCCACCATTCACCAAAATCGATGTGCTCACCGTAGCTGCATGTTGCAAGTTATCGCCGCCAATGCTGTTACGGGAAGGTGATTTTGAATCTCGTTGTTTTTGTTGTTGCTGTTGTTCTGTATGTAGCGAATTATTAATTAATGTTGCTACTACTGTTTGACTGCTGAAACAGTTATTGTTGTTATGGCGCAGTTGGTATTCAATTTGTTGATGTTGCAACTGCTGTTGTTGGTGCTTTTTACGCTTAAACGTTGCAGTTGGCGATGTAAACTGAAATGTCGCCGCTGTCTCGAGTTGAAGATCGCCTGCAGCTGAGTCTCGCTGTTGTTTTTGTATCAAATCTGGTGATTGCTGTGAAAGAATGTTGTCGCACACTTTAGTATTGTTGTTAGCTGATATAGCAGCTGTGGTTGGTGGCATAAAACCATTTTCTTTGCTGCGCTTTGGTGAAGTTGGAAAATGATGAGCGAAATGTAGCGCGTGTGGCAGGTTAATGTTGCAAGTTCGTGATGTGATGCGAAATGTATTAAAGTTAGTTTATTTTCATGAGGCGCAATGACATTGAGTAGTTATGCCGGTGTTTTGGTGGTTATATTAGGCGTTTGGCCGATGAAAGTGATTAGGTGACCGCAAAAGGTCCGCAAATGGAGGAAATGAGAGCAAAAGGTGTAAATTAAATGACTGCCTTGAACAAATACAAATTAATGTAAAGCAAAATTTGTAAAGGATTTAACAGATGATTGTGGGTAATATACTTCCGGAAGGTGTTTTTTTTGTTTATATCTGACTCTTTTGACCATATGATAATCGTATTAATTGTCTTTATATATCCAAGGTTAAAAGTTTTACATTAGGGGTATTCTCTGAGTCTTGCAAAGCCCTTGCATGGTGCACAGATTGCACGGATTGCACGGTAAAAACCGGTTTTCTTATGGGACAGCTTTCCAAACCGTGCAATCCGTGCACCGTGCAAGGGCTTTGCAAGACTCAGAGAATACCCCTATTATATATTAGATGGAAGTAAAAGAATTAGTGAGTCAACATCTAAGTATTAGGCCGCTTTGGTGTAATGGTTAGCAGTGCCCGCTACCTGGGTTCAAGCCATAGCCCCGACTAACATCAAAAAAAAGGAAAAGAAAAAGATTTTCTAATAGCGGTCGCGCTTCGGCAGACAATGGCAAACCTCCGAGTATATTTCTGCCAAGAAAATCAGCTTCTAATAATAATGCAATCGCCGTTCGAAGTTGGCGTAAAACTGCTGATCTCTACTCTTCGTGTGACAACATCAAGCCGCATGCCACAAATCGGAGGAGAAGCTCGGTCAAACACTAACATATTTTGTAAGCGCCAATCCATTATTATTATTATTATCTAAACTCTTACGCTCCTGTAAAAGTGAATATACTTGTTAACGTACACAAAATTTTATATATACAGAAGACAGATTATCTCTCGGGAAGATTCCAGTTTCTTCACTCTTCGAGCTTTTAACTAAAAATGCATATTAAACATCGCACCCTTTACGCTGGACGTCAATTTCTGGTATTTTCTATACGTCTTTGGAACTGTCTCTCTATTAGATTAAGACAAATAAAAAATGCACTGCTTTTCAAAAATCATTGTGTGTGGAGAAAATTTCTACAAATCCGTAAAATTTTATTCATGTAACTGTACGTAATTTTAATTTCTATAAACGATTTGTATCTTACTTATTTTAACTTTTTAATAAATAATAAAAACATCTTATGAATTTAAATTTAATCAGCCTATGTATTACAAGCAATGTGGCTAGCCCTGTAATATAATTGTAAAATTATTGTGATAGATTAAACCAATAAATAATTGAATTGAATTGAGTAGAAATTCTATTGAAAAAAATTAAATCACAATTGATTAAGGAATTAGAAAAAGTTAGAAATAAAAAAATATATAAACAAGCTTTCTAAATATCGCACACCGCCTTCAAAAAAAAGGTATAACTCAAAAATCATATCCGGAAATACAATTGCCTGTAGATTGCACAGATTCAATGAAATTGATACAAAAACCAAAAACCGGCGTTCTTGAAAAGTTTTTTGAGATAGGGCGTTTTCGAACTGGCTGCCGAGATAGGTCGATCTTCCACTCAGCAGTCTATATATAATTGGTTAAATATTTCAAATAGGTACACGTGGATTAGTTTTTAAAAATTTGACAATTAAATAAATGAAATTTGAAATATTTTAAACAATTTTTTTATTCGCTAACTTTAAATAAAATAAAAAAAACAGATATCAATTAATTGTACAATAGCTTAAATGTCGGGTTATGCAATGAATACTCGCATTTGCCCACCAAGCACATACATTAAAAATTTTATGTCAAATAACAATTTTAATTAAGTAATTATACTAAATTGTTGTTAGTCTCTTAATATAGCAACATGTATTCGAACTTGTGTACATTTTTTGCTTTCAACAGCCACAAATGTTAATATTTCCTTGCCAGACACACTTTCGTCTATAAAATTGAGGCGAGGCATACTTGCGGCATTTTGATGGCTATTTTTATGGTTTTTGGCAACTTAACTTGGCGCTTAGTGAGCAATTTAAATTTAATTTTGTATTGAAAAAATGTAACGAATTATTTCAGAGAAATATTAGATACATTCTTCTAAAGTATATTAACTCAGAATTTACTATTTTTTACAAGATTTTATTTAACTTGCTCTGTATGTATGTATGTATGTTTGTTAGGAGCAAATGTTGCAATAAATTTTTGACTAACTTCCCGATGATCTAGAGATTTGAAACTTCACATTCGGCTCAGAACCCGATGTCTATGCAATACAAAAGATGAGCTAATACCCGCAGGAGTCGAAATATTTGGAAAACCCGTATTTATAGTCCGATTTGGTTCATATTTGAAAAGCTTGCTTTAAAAATACTCGTTTTTACTGTTAACTTATTTAGAATGTATTGTAAAAAAAACTATTTATGAAAACTTGATAATCGTATACACAAGATGGACTTTTCTATAGTTCTTTCTTTAGTTTGGGGATAAATTATTGGAACTACTGTATATAAAAGCTACTAACAATAGATAAGCAGATTTGTAAGTTGAAAAATGTTGAATCATTTAGATTTTACCGGTACTAGCAAAGTTTGCCTCGAACCGATTTATTTAGCAGCACAAAAATAATTTTTTACAAGGATAGCAATTGAACCGCTGGATGCGTTTTCTCAAACAGAGATCAGACTAATAGCCACCACCAAGAGCTTAACTGCAGTTAAGAGCTCAGGTAAATTCAAAGAACTTTAATATTGGGTGATCAGAAAACTTTATTTATTACTTTTTGCTTTCTTGCCTTTGATTGCTTGTACTTAATATGAGCAATTATGTACCTCCTTCGAGTTATAATCTCCTTATTCCTTAACTGCAGTTAAGGCTTGGTGGAAATGAACTCTAAACTTGAAAAACATATTTTTGTAAATGTGCTTAATAAACATTATTATTTCATGTTGTTGCAATATTTAAATAAGGCTTTGATTACTAAAAAAAGGTCAAGAGTTATAAAATTATTAATTGAGAGGATATGATGAGTTTGATGACAAAGTTATGTGATCGGAAGAGCTCTTCACTTTCCCCCTGAATTGACTCTAATAAACACTATCTTAACTAGGGTAACTAGTGTAAGCATTGCATTTTAACAAATGGCGTTTCCTTGACACCTTATGCGTGTAATTAGTTGCAAAAAATAAAAATTAGATTTCATTACAAAATATTTACTTACCGAATATTTGCCTCTTGAGATGCTACCGAGTGACTAATCAATAGCGCCGCATCGATGTCTTCTTGCACTTCGTATGTGTGCGTGGGTGAGGTAGACATTAAATGGCAGCCATTTACCCTGGGAGTATTCAGCTGTAATTGGAAAAATAAAAAAAATTATATCAAAAAAGATCCTTAGTGCAAGGACAAAATATAAAGTTATAAAGTTAAATATTGTAATAGAACTTTTATGGTGGCAGGCAAATGCCAATTAAATTAAAAATGTTGCAAATCACTAGTATTAAACGTTAGACTGAGACCTATCTGTTTTTTTTTTTATTAATTTATCTACTTAGAAAATTTTCTCTAGCTTTTTCTCTTCTACCTGGTATATTTTAATAAAATATTTTAAGTTGAGTAAAGCCTTTCGCTCAGGTGTGTAGGTCGCCTCAGTTTATGTGTTTAGTAAACCGGTATAGTATGTGCATCAGGGTGGTCCAAAAATGCATGTGAAAAAGTAAAGTCGGAATTTTTATGCTCTCACCCCCTAGGATTCTTCTATACCAAAAAATAGACCCTTATTTTTTATTTTTAAATTAAAAATTAGGGGCATACTTTTTGTTATAAAACAATGTTAGGGGTGAGAGCATTCAAATTCCGACTTTACTATTTCTGGACCACCCTAATGTACATACATATCCCTGTAAATCGACTTCTTCTTATACAGAGCTGTTTTTTGACTAGAATGTATTCGATAGTATCCCACTTCGAGGGTATTTGTTTATTTAAACATATGAGTTAAAGAATTAGTAATTTTGTTAGTCTCAGAAGAATTTTGATTCCAAAAGCCTTCTAAAACCTTTCATCAAGTACAGCCACATTAGCAATTAACTTGCCTTCATTCACTTTCCATAATCAGCCCTTCATAGTAAAATGTAGCGATAATTTAATTTTGCCTTGAATTGCAGTAAATACGAAAACAAAAAAAAAAAAAAACTTTTTCATTTATCCATTTGAAAATAATCCATTTCAGCAAAGTTGATTGGCCAATTTTTTTTTCATAATCAGTTATTAGCTTTATAACTCAGTAAATAAATGTGTACATATATATGTTAGTTACTATATTGATTTAAATCAATATTCGTGGAAAATAACTTTTAACCACAAAATGGTTTTTGTGCTTTTACTATTCATCCTTTCAGCTTTTTATAAAAACTACTAAATGAGCCGCAAAATTTACGACTGTTTGGCCTAGAAATTAGCGCTTTTACGATAAATGCCTATAATCATTTTGCATTTTACAGTCAAACGATTTTCAAACAATAATTTAAATTCACAGATTTTAATTGAGTGTAACTTTGTATTCATCAATAAGGTAATGAAAAAAATTGTGTAAATATGTAGTAACTACAAAATCGTATGCATACGTCCCAACCAGGAGCGTGAAAATATTATTTGCAAATAAATGAATGCTGCATGCAACAGCGTGTAATAATTGAAAATTGTACATTTGTATTTTTCTTGCATATTTTCTTAACGAATTGTCTGTTTTGCTTTCAGATGAGTTTTGTACCTATATACAAACATACTATATAATATATTGCAAATATTAGGATGCCCGCGAAAAAAATGCTGACTTCCAAAGCAAATAATAAAATTGTATACTTATGTAGAGATTATCCCTTTTTTATGTTAAATAAAACACTTAAAACAGAACTGGATACCTGAATATTTATTATCACCTGAAAGAAATATTTGAATATTGAATATTGAAATATTTCCGACATCACGCGCTTCAATTTCAAGCAACAAAAGGGCAGTTATCATGGTGCGGAAGGGCACGTTATTTACGGTTATGCTATGTCTGCGGCCAACATTTAAATGAAACTATTTCTAAAAAATAAATGTCAGAGATCCTTTTTTTGGGTGATAATAAAAAATTAAGATATCCACTTCTATTTTAATATTAGAAAACATAAGATATGGATGGGTCACCCTATATGTACATATATCGAGGCCTTCCCACTAAAAAAACCTAAACGATTTTTTTTTTTTATAAATAAATTCAATTAGATGCTATAGGAACATTTTACGCATAAAAAGATAATTTTGAAAATAATTGACCTCATGCATAAAAGGTGAGCAAAACCCTTTCATCACAAAAAACCGTGTGTTCGACCACCACGGAATCGTGAGATATATCCCATGGATGTTGTGCGAAGAAATTACTAAGTACCTTCGATCGACTTTTTGTAAATGAAAGTTAGTTCAGACATTATTTCCACAAATCTGATTCATGGAGGATGTGTCAAAATTATGAACTACTATTAAATGAGCCGCTCCACTTTTTAAAAAATCTTAAATTATATTCAACAAATTTTATCTTGAACTTGAGATCGTTCTTAATGAAAAATGTTTTGTGATTTGGAAAAACAACAATAATATTAAAGTCCTAGTGAACTCGATGAAGAAGTGTGATGGGAAGATGTGATGATTTCCAAAATAGCAGCTGTAACTTCTATCAAGTGTAAATTATTGTTGTTTTTCCTCAACATTTTGCAAAAAAAAAAAAGTTTTTATACAATTTTTTCGCTAATATTTTTAAAAATATGCTTCCTACTACAACAAAAATCATAAAAATAAAACTTCTAAACTATGCACACAACTCTGGAAAATTCAATAAAATTCCATACAAACTTGCAACTTTTTAGTTAAATTTTCTAGAAAGATTTTGAGTATTCAGTTTTCTTGATAAAAAAAAGTGCAAGTTTCAAATTGTTAAGAAATTGCGTTTAATTCGCTTCAAAACTGCATATACAAAATCTTTCTAGAAAACCTAATAAAAAACATTACCGAAACAAAATTGTGCATAAAAAACTCGACATTCATTCCGAAAGATTCTCTGTGCGTAGACTTTTGTCGCCCACTGTGTTATAAATGTGAAAATTTGTGAGTGAGTGAGTGTGTGAGTATGTTTGATGCTCTTTCACGCTAAAGGTCTGAATATATTTCATTGAAATTTAGCACACCTGCCTTAGGTGAGACAATGTTACTTCTTTAACAATTCTTTGCCTAATAATATAGATGAATATTTTTTTTTAATTTTTCTCAGTATACACATTGTTTTTTCTTAAAAAGGTGTGTTATCTTATTTTATTTCATTTCATTACGAATATACTATAAAAAAGCAAATTTTGTTTAGGAAAAAATGTGAAATTTAATATTTTTCCCCCAAATAGGGCTTAATTTCTTCCCGTTTTTCTTCTCATTCTACTGAGCTAAGGCAGTGTCAAATCGAGCTGTCACAATTGATACCACCTTGTATTATTGCATCATGGGTTATAACCTGGATTAACATATGGGCTTTTTAGGAGAGTTGCCTTCTTTTTCAAAAGGAAAAAACTAATTAATTTATAAGTTAAGTGTGTGAGAGTAAACTCGGAAATAGTAATAGCTGGATTAATTTATACTATATTTTTTATAAGGTTAAGTTATAACTTTACCGAATTTCCCGAACTGGGATACCAAACAAACGAAATTTGAAATTTTTTTAATAGAATTGCTACTTATAAAAAAAAAATATTATTCAATTTCATTATTATTCATTTCAATTAAATGAAGTTTTACAATGTTCTGGAACCCTTAGATAATAAGATTTTTATTTTTTTGAAATCAAATGTATTATTTTCGGTGATACAAATTATTTTCCTTTCTTGCTGCATTTGAAATCATAACGTTAAACCGAACTTTATGTGTGCGGAGCTGTGGGAAAAGGCTGCCTTTTATAGTATTCATACTTAAATATTCAGAATTTCCATCTCAGAACATTTCTTGGTAGAAAAGTATTTCAATATAATTTTTGTACGACAAATCGAAAATTTAAGTTTATGTTGAACGTGATATATCTTATGAACTGCACTGAATTACGCCGACTTACAATATTTTGCTGGGATTTATAAAACGAATCTATAATTCCCTTTCGAAGCAGCACCGAGTTTTTTTTTATATGTAATGGTGAGGCAGTCTAATAAATATACAAATGCATCCATGAATGTTAAGTATTTTGTTGTTGTTCGTAGTACTATATAGTTTACAAGTGTGTAATTGAATTTGGTGTTGTAAAGTTCATGAAATTTTTCGCGCTCGCTTTACTACCCGCCAGCTGTTTTTGTTGCAGGTGTGAACTTTCTAGTTTTTTTTTTATGCAAATTTATGGCAAGCGTGCATATTGATGTAGCATGTCAATGGCATACATTTAATTGTACCGTATTTATATATTTATTTGCATAGCGCTATGTAGCCGGTGGCATGCAACACCTTACTTCGTGTCACAATTTTCCGCATGCAAATGAATGCAACATTTTACCGCGCCGCGTAGTCGTCCGTCCGTCATAACATGTCTGAGATGCGCACATGCACATCCACACACAAAAACAACAACATAAACACACCACACACAGAGACCTACCGCATGTGCACTTACTCAAAATTGTTGCACGTCAAAAGTGCCAGCCACTGAGTGGGCGTGTCGACATTCACACTCAATTACTGTAAACATGAAAATAAAAATTGCAGAGCAAAAGCGAAACGGACAAATTTTTTTCCGGTGGAATTTTGTATGTTGCACTTACATACATACTTGTCTACATATGTAAATGTACTATCTGCATATAAAAATATCTATGAATGTAAGCAGGGTTGATGTACCGCGTCCTGCGGCCAAGTTCAGTGGGTGGCTCGTCGACGAAGGCGCGTGTTGGTGTGTGTATGGGCATGAAGAGGAAAATTAAAAATTAATATTTTTATATATTTTCGTGCCAAATTTGAGTTCGCACAGCAGCCGCAAAGGCAATTGAAGTACAGAGAAAGACACAATAAAAATAAACCAGAAACAATATGTATAAAACAAGCGGCAATAACAATAACATACTGAAAAACCACAACAAAAATATGCACTAAAAATAGCTGAAGTACCATATAAATGTGCACGATACACACATATCTACGTACATACGCACAGTTTTCGGCAACCTCGAGTTCATTGCTTCTTATGGCGCCTATGGACTTCGTCATAGTCATCACAGTATTATGGAGAATTTAGAATTCTATTGTTATTAACTTTTTAATATTCATTGTTATTTTTGCTGTAGATT